TACGTCAACGGGCCGCGCCGCGTTTGCAACGTCGATTTGGAATAAATTTCACTTATCTATTGAGCGATTATGCATAGTGTGCGTGGAGCGATGTGTAGTGGTGTGAGACGTATGTGTGTGGTACAAGGAGCCGTACGTATATAGAGGACCACGCGTGGTTTGAGTTGGAACTGCGTGTGATGTGCACACCAGCTGCAATCGGTGTGTACGACGGCTACGTGTGGGTATGTGGGACATGATTGGTACCACACAGCACAACCGATTCATTATACTTTCATTTGCCGGCTGCGCCGTATTTCATTTTGCTAGCAAATTCACCTGGAAAAGAGGATCTGGGGAAGCTCTGGATTTACAAGAGAAAAACGGTGTTGCTTTATTACAAACATGTTGTTGTACATTCGTATTCCTGTAGGCCTTTAGAAAGCAAACACAAAGGATCTTTTTGAAAAATTTGCTGTTAGGCCCGATATTCAACGTGATGAAAGAGGGAACCATCATGAACTCGCAGATCGCTATTAGCAAGTATGACCTGCAAGCTGTAGCCTAACACTTGGGCTCATATTGGCCGTGCTCTGGCTCCTTCCAGCATGCAGGAGGGAAGGCGTCAGTTGGGATGAAGGTGGTGCATTACAGACCCGCGTGGACATCCAGGTGCATGATTATCAGTTTTTTGTACGAGTTCCGGTCTTTTTCTCGGTAAGTGCTTCCTTTATGAAAAAATGAAAAATGCAGATTTCTTGGAAAAATGCAAGTTTCCAGTTCACTAAAAAGTGGAAGTATTGTTCAAGCGGTCGTTTGCCAAAAAATCCAAGTATGCAAATGATCTAATGCTCATTTACATATTTGGGTAAGGGCGGTCGTTCGCTGAAAACCGCAATTGTTTCTGATTTTTCGGTAAAGTTGAATATTTCTCACGCCTGCCTGCAAGGAATTCCACTTCCAAGCAGAATTAAGGCCGCACTTGCAAGTAGGATAACCTAGCGAATTTTCAGCCTCGCAACTAATCCAGTAAGCGAAATATTCACTTCGCTACAAATATCTTTGAAGTGCCATAAGTCGTGGCGCAAAATGCAAGTCGGTATTCATTTTAGGTATACTGTTTCAGTATGGGAGTCAAACATCCTGACAAAATTTCAGCCATTGTTTTCTGGCAAGTTTACGAGTTAGCACAATAGCAAACTGCAAACTTTAACGTGATCGTACACGCTTCACAAAGTGTGCTTGACAGCTGAGTTTAAAATCTTTAACTCGCACGTGTATAGAGAATATCCCTGCAAAGTTGCCTGATTCGCGAAATCGTTTCTCGCCAAAGAAATTTGCATATTTTTTGGGGGCTCCTACGCGGGGTCTAGGCACGTGTGGGGGATATGTTGAAACGGGAGGATGATACACGAGGCAGAAACGTATATCCAAAGTTTCAGCCTCCCAGCCTTCCTGATTGCCAGATGACAGCGGGCGACAGAATGCACTCGCTTCTGAACACATACACAGCCTCTCGACAATATGCGTTTTTGCTCGCTGTAGCAGCGTACAGTGCTGCTATTGTGCAAAAACGCATAAAAATTGGATCTCGACAGTACGAAAGTTGTAGTGCTGACAAAAATCACCGACGACGCGCACCGGGCGGCCGGTGCGATCATGCGTTTTTGCTGTTGTAAGATCGCTTGGAATCTTGGTAACTAGAATTTGTGGCACGCTGTTCCTCGAAGTTTAGGAAATTATTTGCCCAACTACACAGTAGTTGGCCAGTGAATATTTTCTTAAAATTTCAGCCTCCCAGCTCTCCTGGCTCCCGAGTTAGCCATTTCCCTGCTAAAAACTTTCGCGGCGCCATACGTGAGAACCAGAGGGGCCGAATTTGATAACTTCAAGCTGTACACGAGCTAGGAAAATCACCTTAAAAATTCAGCCTCCCAGCTTTCCAAGTTCATGAGTTAGTGGTTTTTCCACCGAAAAATTTTACGGGGCGTACGTGGGAATCACGCATGTCTGGGAACTGGATTTGAAATTTTTGATTTCTATGTGGAAGGGAAACGTAGTGGCAAAAGTTCAGCTTTCCAGCTTTCTTCGTTCTCGAGTTAGCGATTTTTCCGCCAGAAATTTCACCCGCTCGTACGCGGGGCCTAGACGCGCATGATGGTTGGTACCGCGGTTCTGCGGCGGCACTTGGCCGAGGAAACTACTGGCGAAGTTTTGGCACTGGAGCTTGCTTGGTTGCCGAGTTGAAATACTCGGACATACTCATATACACACATACACTGAGTTCGTCACGATATGCGTTTTTTGCATTTGCAAAAACGCATAATAAAAAGTAATAAATGGCCAGCGCACCGACTGCCTGTGCGAAGATGCATTTTTTGCATAATTTGTCGCTACCGGCACCGGCTTTTCCGCCAAATGCTTCTAGCTAAGAGAATTGAGACTGGTCACCAGGGCTGTTTGAAAACATCCCTTTAAAATTTCAGCTTTCTAACTCTCCGGGTTTCCGCGTTAGCAACTTACCTGAATAAAACTTTCACAGATCCTCACATGGGAACCACGCGAGCCTGGGGAGTGGGTTTGAATTCTTCGATACCTACATGAATGGGGAACATCCCCTTAAAATTCTAGTCTTCCAGCTTTTCAGGTCCCGAGTTAGCAGCATGCCCGTCAAAAACTTTGGAAATGGAGGCCCGTACATGCACGCCGATTAGGTT